GCACCGGCCCCGCCCGCCACAGCGCCGCCATGCTGTACGGCACCGGCACCGGCCCGCCAGGACCCACGGGCTGCCCGCGCCGCGCCTGAGCCGCGCCGGGGGAGCGCGCGGGCCGAGCCCTCACGGCGCTGGGGAGGGCGGGCGCGGGATCTGGCGCTGTAGGAGCGCGTGTGCGTTAAAATCAGACTTTAGGAGGGAAAACAACCCACCACAGTTTGCTTGACAGGCTTCCCCCCAGGTGCTGGTGCAGAAGGGGTTCGGGGAAGGCTCTATGGGAAAGACGAGGATCACGGTGACTGCCCAGAGAGCCTTCAGTGATATCCAGGCCCTGTTCTGTCCCCTCTGACCCGCCCATCTCTCTGTGGCAGAGCTCCTCAGCTGCGGGGCTCAGGCTGACAGAAACCTCTGAGGAGCTGGTCCGGACGGAGCCTGTCCCTTCCTGGGGGTGTTACAGACCACTCGCGTTCCTGTGACCACGATCGGTTCAGGGCTCCGAGGAGGACTCGGGTGCGGAGGAGCGGCTCCCTCAGCCCGGAGGCGGGAGCGCTGTGGGACAGGGAACGCGCCCCCGGAGCAGCTCTGAGGCGTTGGGGCTGTGATGGGGCAGAGCCGGCTCGGCCGGAGCTGTCAGAGCCCCTCACAGCCCCCCGCAGCCTTTCCCGTCCCTGGGCCACATGGCAGCTGCTGATTAACCCAGACCTGCTCCGGACGGGAGTTATTAATGCCTGTAATGTCTTCTGACAGCCCCAGCTAACAGGCCTCAAAGCAGGCATCGGTCCGAACAAATCAAGGGGACGCGGTTTTTCTCGTTCAGGGGCGCTGTCTGTTGGCCTTCAGTGAAGCAGAGTGCGGCCCCTGCCTGCTGCTCTCGGTGGTGGGTTGGACGCGTTAAATGCCACTGCAGCCAAATCCGAGTTTGGGACAAGACAATCGGCCACTTTTTCTACAGAAAAAGGGTTTTAGAAGTCTTGGTTCAGTCTCTGGAGCAGGAGCCCGGCTCACAAGAGGGCAGCATCCAACCATTTTGTTTCAGACACCATCAATCCTCTGCTCCGCAGTTGAAGAGAAATGGCAAGAAATTAAAATACGCAAAAGAAAGTTTTGTGGAACTGACATCACCTCCAGCGCAGTCTGATTATTTTTGTTCACTCCGTCAGTGTTTGAAAACACTTGAAATAAGAATTTCTATCGCTTTGGTAAGTGGATTGATGACTTTCTCCAGTATCACCACTGTTAAAAAAAACTAAACATAAGAAAACCTCCTGCAGCACCAATCAATAAATCACTAGAAACACTCTTACCCACGAAACAGCATTAGAAATACATGACTAGAGTGTACTGAGGGGCCTTTGAATTAAAGAAACCTAAAGCATATTCAGATACTAATCCTTTATGCTTTTCAGGTACGTGCACGCAAAGTTGTTTCAGCTTTTTGTTTTAGCCGCTGTTCCGAATTGAAACAGGCAGTGTTGAGCATGTGCTCTTCACACAGATTTAGTTCAGACAAGTAGGATTAAGGGTAGAATTAAATCACCCCAAACACAAAACAGGTTTATATGAAGAAAAGTCCCTGCAGCACTGTGGTGTTTTGCTAATAAGGAAAGGCCTCAAATGTAGCAAAGCAAAGCGAAACCAAGTTGAACCAAATGAAAGGCAGGTGGGGTTGGCCTCTTCTGTGTCTCGAGTGAAAGGATAAGAGGAAATGGCCTTAAATTGTACTGAGGGAGGTTCAGATTAGATATTAGGGTAAAAACTTTACCTTGAAAGAGTGGCAGGCAACAGAATAAGTTGCTCAGGGGGGAGATGGTGTCACTGTCTCTGGAAGTGTTCAAGAGGCATCTGCATGTGGCACTTAGGGACATGGTTTAGGGGTGGTTATGGTGGCCTGGGTTGACGAGGGAGTAGATGATCCTGAAGGTCTCTTTCAACTCTGATGATCCTGTGAAAGCTGTTGATAGAAACCATTATCTTTGAACAGCACCTGAAGTGGCAATTTAGGAAGGAATTGATGATAAATTTAGAGTAAAGCTTCTAAACTCTTTCAAGGGTAGGATCTTGGCCAAGTGCCCATGGAAACAGCCCCACTGTACACTGGCATTACTGATTGCTTTCATCATTTTAGAGCTCAGAGCCTAAGGGAACCACAGCCTACACAGCCCTGGTGAGATGGCAGCTTCTTCTGGGTGTTCCCAAACATAGCAACACACACTTTTGTGGCTCGAGAGCGAGTCATTGCTGTCCCTTGGCGTCCTTCTTCAGTCAGCTGGGAACAAGAAGCACCCACAGTGCCACTGTCAGACCGTGGGAAGGGGGTGTCACCAGCTGTACCCCACAGCCCAGTGCAGTTCCACAGCCTTCCCACCAGGGCTGCGGGCTGCAGGACAAAGCACAGAGCTGTGGTGTGTCATTCCACTTGTTCTTGCTCACTCTCACCAGTTCCATCCTTGGGACCGACAGAGGCACAGAGCAGTGCTGGGGAGGGGGTTGTGCTCCTGGGGGCACCATCAGGGGGAGCAGCAGCCCCTGAGCCTTGCTGCTGTCAGCTCTGAGCAGGTGTGTCTGTGCTGCACTTCAAAAATCTTTATCAGGGACCACAGACAGATTCTGGTTGTCAGATGTGGTTTCTAATGTGTCTTTGGCTCAGCTCCTGTGGCTTCCTACTCCTGTTTTAACTCTTTTGTGGTTAGCATTCTGTTGATTAGGTAATTAGTTATACTTTTGTTTACATATATATATATGTATCTTAATTTCTATTAAGAAAACAAACATTAAGTCCTTTAGTGGCAAATACATTCTAGTATCATTTATACGAAGCCTTGTGTTTCTGCAGTGAAAACATATACTTTCAAAACCTGAGATTAAAAAAACTCCTTGCAAGATAGCTATCAAACTTAACATCATATTTCCACAGATATTTTTTTTTCAGTGTTAGCTAGTCATATTTAAAGTCATAAATTAACTTATACATTAGATGTGGTTTGGTTTATTTCCAGGGGGAGTTGTTTATTCAGTGTGCTTTAAACAGTGTGGTATTAAAGGGGTAAAGGAAACACCCTGATTTAGAAATAGAATTTAGAATCCATTCAACAAGAAAAGATGCTTTGTAAGTCATGAATTAGTTTTGGTAACAGGCAGACTTGCTCCTCTTGAATTTATTTTAGAGACAGCTTGGAATTCTGTATGGTTTTTCCTTTGTATGAAATACATTGAGTTACATTTATCCATGGCTCACTTAAATTCTTCCTCGTGAAGATGACCAAAAACAAGTACTTTTTTCTACTGAACTTTTTAGAAATTTTGACTTTTCAAGCACATCTTCTTGTCTCTCCTGTTTTTCTGGCATGGTTCCCTCTATGCCTTGTTCCCAGATCAGCAGCTTGGCAGGGTGGAGGAAAAAAGAGAGTGTCAGGTAGATACTGTCTTTGGAAGTCATCCCATTGTTGCCTTTTTAGTGGGTGGGGTGGGGAATTGATTCTGTCAGAGGCTGCATTTTGTGGCATGACCTCATTAATAATTGACGGTGGAGTCAATAAACTCTGCTGGAGCAGGGGTTGAACTCAGCTGTCTCTGTGGGAGGTAGGATGTTTTGGTTTCTTACCATCTCTCCTGATTAATTGCATTTGCTGTTTGATTTCCTTTTCCACGCTTGTTTTCCTCTGCTGGTGTGTAGTGTGGTGTCCTCAGCAGTGAGGAAGAGGAGGGGAAGCCTGTGGAAGAAAGGCATGGCAGAAGGGGAATACAAAAGTGGAAATAGTGACATAGTCCCTGGCAACTGAGAGAACCATACCCCAGAGCTACAAAAAGCTTTGTGTAGCAAGAATTTTCCAATGTTACTTTTTGTTGGATATTGCTTTGCTTTGGCATGAAGGAGTCTGTGGCTGTTTGCTTATGATCCAATTCTGCTATAATTTGCTGCATTTTTGGTATTTGTTTTTAAGAGCTTTGACAAATCAATCTTTAGGACAGTTAAAAGCCAAACTGATAAGGGAAGAAAATGACTAATTTTGGTTTATGAGATTGAGGTGGAGATTGGATTTCACGGGGAGTCTACAAAGTTCACAACATTTTGTTAAGATGGGACAAATTAAGTAATTATTCAATTAACTAATAATTTTTTTATGTAAGGTCTATAAATATATCTAAAACAACTACATTGAGGTAAGAAAAGTATAGGCATCAGAGAATTAATGTAATTTAATTTAAATTCCACTTAGAAATGTAATTCTAAAAGCATGTATTAGAACGGTTGGTGTTCTAAGTGCCCAAAAGGGCATCTTGTTACAAAGAATACATCCTTCAGCTAGTGGTGTTTCCTCTGCTGCAAGCATTTGTGCATGAGTTCATAAACCAACAGAAATAGCTGAACATTTCACCTGGGTTCCTATTTTTCCCCTTGTTTTCTTTTGCTTTTTTTACTGTTTTCATAGGTTTGTCTGAGAGTATGAGTCGTTGTCCAGAATTTAATCTATGCCATTTTATTCCTTCCCTCCTTAAGACAGATCTTCTGTTCATAGTTTGTCCTGAACAAGTAATTGATTGCAAGTGAGGGAAAAAACCAGCAGAAACAGATGAAGCTTCAAGTAACACCAGTTCTTGACTTCATTCAAATGCTTCAAGACATATTACCAAAAAAAGGGAGGGGAGAAAAGACAGAAACAGGGTAGACTTAGCTGCTTCAGAGCTTTCCTGAGTAGTTATAAAGTCTTTGAAAGCTGAAAGTGTTTCTCAGTCTGCATGATGACCTTTAAGATGCACAGTAACACAAAATAGTCTAAGCCCTCCTATTATCTGTTCGAATTTAGAGCATAAACTGTATACTGGTCTTCTTTCTTCTCTTGTAGCTCTTTCCTATTTTAGGTATGGCCAGGCAGTTAGCTGATTCAGACATAAGTGCTGCTTCCTTTCTCTTTTCCATGTTTCTCAGCAAGAGAAACTAATTTGGCTGTGGAAAACAGCAAATTCACATAAA